GGCATTTGCTTTATAGGGGGCTCGTTAGTATAAGCTGCCATACACCAGAGGGCAGTATGAATACCAGCTGTGTTGGGACATGAAACATGACCAAAGAGTAAAGAATTGTAAAGAATTATAAGGGTAAGAAGACAGGTCATTAGAAGTATGGTCAGCACTAAAAAAATAAACCTTGTTGCCATCCAGTACATTTGACTCCTGCTGACCCCGCGTGTTACAGAGTAACAGAAGGTTTTCTGGGCTCTAATCTGTAGGAACAGATGGCCAGGCCTGCCTTTGGCAGTATGCTAGGTGGGTTTGAGCACAAACTGTCACAAGAACACCGTAGTCAGCAGGCACGCACTGCCGTCGAGTCACTGCCCACTGGTCTTGACCCAGTCGGACAGGGTAGAACTGCCCCTGTGGGTTTCCAAGACACTGGCTCTCCAAGAGTAGAAAGCCTCGCCTTTGTCCCATGAAGCGGCTGATAGTTTTGAATTGCCGATTTTGCGCCAAGCAGCCCAACATGTACCCACTGTGAGACCAGAAGGGATTAAAACCACACCCACGGTGAGAAAGGCCAAATGGGTGGGGTTTTTTATCATTGATGGCCAGAAATGGATTAAGCACCATCTCATACCTGAAAAGCACATGAGACTTAAAAGATACATACACACAATCTCCAGGTAAAAGTACCTTGTTCTCTTTGGTTACACTTTAAGCTTTTTTTTTTTTTGGTGGTGGTGGTGGGTGGGGGGATTAATATATCACATACACGTACTTCCATAGTTCAGTCATATTATAAAAGTTGTGTATACTTCACCATAATCAGTGTAGAGCATCTTCCCCACTCCTGAATTCATTATTTGCTGCTCATTATTTCCCTCCAACATCCTCCTCACCCCCACCCTGAATTCCGGCTACGGATACCAATAATTGTCTGCTTTTGCCCATCTTGTGCTTCCTATTGGGAAACATACGGGGGGGGGGGATGATGAAACAACTTAAGGCATTATTTTCTTTTAAAATTGTGTCCTTGTGCTCAAAGGAAAGAGCCATAGAGTTTTTATTTTCTTGAATCCAGGTTTAGAATTGGTATTTTCCCCTCAGCCTAGTTTCACTGTCGGATTGTAAGGTTGGAAAGGAGGATATGACTGGGTCATCTGATGAGTGAGCTGGTAAATTAACATCTTTGCTGGATGAGTTTATTGTAATTTTGAAGACCCGAGGAAAAAGTGATTGTCCAAGCTAAGAGGTTTTACTTTCAGCTGAGGAAAAAGCAATTCTCCGATCTATTTCAAAGTTCTTTTTTAAAAAATATTAAATCATTTTATTGGGGGCTCTTACAGCTTTTATCATAATCCATACACGCATCCATTATGTCAAGCACATTTGTACATGTTGCCATCAATATTTTCAAAACATTTTCTACCTGAACCCTTAATATCAGCTCATTTCCCCTTCCTCCTCCTCCTCCACCCTCTCTTATGAACCCATGATAATTTATAAAAAAATTTTTTTATCTCTTATGCCACTGTCTCCACCCACTTTTCTGTTGGCCATCCCCTAGGAAGGGGTTATATGTAGATCATTGTGATCAGTTCCCCCTTTCTCCCCCCACCTTCCCCTTACCCTCCTGGTATCTCTATTCTCATTATTGGTCCTAAGGGGTTTATCTGTCCTGGATTCCCTGTCTTGTAAGCTCTTCTCTGTATCAGTGTACATACTCTGGTCTAGTCAGATGTGTAAGGCAGAATTGAGCTCATGATAGTGGGGGGTGGAGGGGAAGCATTAAAGAACTAGAGGAAAGTTGTTATAGTTCATCAGTGCTATACTGCACCCTGACTGGCCTGTTTTTCCCTTGTGACCCTTCTGTAAGGGGATGTCCAATGTCTACAGATGGGCTTTGGGTCTCCACTCTGCACTCCCCCCCCCCCACCATTCATATTGATAAGATTTTTTGTTCTGGGTCTTTGATGCCTGATACCTGATCCCATCGACACCTCATGACCACACTGGCTGGTGTGCTTCTTCCATGTGGGCTTTGTTGCTTCTCAGTTAGATGGACCCTGGTTTATATTCAATAATTATGTTAAGTATTATGGTAGCAGATGGCCATTGGGCCTCAACTCAAGTACTCCCTCAACACAAGAACACCTTGTTCTAATAATCCAGCATTCTGTGATGCTGACCTTCCCAACATGAACGCTGAAAACAAAATGGGTGCATAAGCAAATGTGAAAAAAGCTAATGGTGCCCGGCTACCAAAAGATTCAGTGTTGGGGGTCTTAAAGTTCTTACTTTTAACATCCAAATTAATGTTCTGTAGTTAAATCTTGAGACCTTGGAGATGCAAGGGCAAAATCTTTTAAACGGGCATGTTTTAAATGTAAGATCTAGGGGACCAGCCACAGGCAATGGAGAAGAAAAGGAACTCTCAAAGAGATCCCTTAACTTGCTGTGCAATGAATGCCATTGGCTTCTTTTATAAGGAGGTCAAATAATCCTGCCACCATGTTCCTACAAAAGGAAAAAGGGGTTAGATTGTACTGACGCCTAAGCTGTGAGAGAGAGCACTCACTGAAAAACACAGCCTGACAGATTTAGATTGGTATCCCATTCGTGACAATTGTAGGAGGAACCGGGGCACCGCCCACCTGCTGAGCTGCACCTCAGAGATTATCTTCCTCAAGACTCAGAGCATTATGAGGGTGAGGTGATCCAGATAAAATATGTGGTGTTTTGGGGTACAAAAGAGACCCCATCTCAAATATAATTTAAAGAGAAAATTTATTAAGTCTTAAAAGAGACAAAGACACAGACACATCCAGATGAGGGAGACCACCAACACGAGCTTGAAATGCCATCTGAGGGTTCAGAATTGAGGCTGGAGGTAAATAGGGCATGGGTGGGCACAGAAAACTCTCAAAAGCATGATACAGTATATCAAAGTTACAGGTGGGGCTACAGAAGCTGGAGAGGGACCACGATTGGGACATGCACATCCTTAAATAGAAGAGCTTGTAAGACTGGTCCAGGGCCTTCAGACCAAGGCAGTCAGGGTCAAACTGATAGGGCACGACTCATGGTTATGTGAGCCTCCTTCCCTTCTCTATGTCCCCAGTACGGTGTCCTCCCCTTAAGGACAGACCTAGGCAAGTCCCCAAGAGAGGGACTACCCCTCCCTGGGCTAGCCAGACGGGAGGAGGCAATCCACTTGTGGTAGTTACATAATCTGTTGTCAATTTGAGACTTACCAGTGAAGGGGTGGGGTTTAGCCTGTCAATCAGGTCACAGCTTGATGACCTCATTTGGAGGTGCAAAGAGATAAATAGCTCCCTGGAGGCAGGACACATGCTCACTGTCTGGGAGATATTGCAGCTGGCAAGACACAAACTATGCTAGAGCCCTGGAGCTGGAGGAGCTACATGGAGACTCCTGCCAGTGCTGAGATTCTTCCACTGCCACTGGATCCACAAGACTTTCCACTCATTGGCCTGTGATCTTCCTGTATACAATGTTATTGGCTGTGTTGCATGAGTCTGAAGAGGAATTTATAGACTGGTATCGGACAGATGGGCTAATATAGGACTTACAGACTTGATCTGGACTGT